GTTGTGTTTACTTCCGGTTTGTCTTTGTTTACATTGTGTATGTTCAATGTTATTAATCCGAGTTCTGCTGCAGTTTCTGAGCAAAGTAAGTTTCCATTGTCCCCTTTTGCGACGTGAAATTTGGTGGTTGTCATCTTTGTCTTCGACTCGATGATTTCTTCGAATACTCCCAGCATAGGAAGCGGCGATTGTGCAGCATACGCATATATTCGTGCTTTTGAACGATGTATTTTAATAGGTCTTTGTTTACATAAGTGTTGAAATGTCGGCTCGTCTATAATGTTGATAGACGCCCCGGTGTCGATGAGTGCTCGAAAATTCGTCCGATTGATCTTTAATTTGGCAGTCAAATTGTCCTTGGACGCAACTACTGAGCACAAGTGTTCACCGTGTAGATGTATTCATCTTCCGAGGATGAGTTGCTTTCATCGTCAGTGTGCTGTCTATTAACAGTGTTAATTGACGAGTTGTTGAATTGGCGTGATGAGCGGGGCTGTCGAGGAAATTTATTTTAATCTCGATTTTGACTACTTTTGCAAACCTTTGCAAAATTATTCATCTTATGACAAAACGAGCATTCTTTGCCATAAGCTGGGCAGCTATTGTTCTTGTGGGGATAATCTAACCCGTAATAATAACACTTGCGTTTCACTGTTTCCCAACGAGCGTACTGTGGTTGTTGGCGTTGTTGATGTTGAATGACATTCACACTATCGTCGATTTCAGTAGGGAGTTTTTCGTCGATCTTGATGGCTGCGAGGGACCTCCAGTATTAGCTAGCGTTTCAAATATTGTTTTTACTTGGGGCCCAGCCATGAATAGAAGAAGGGCTCGTTGTTGTGTTATATCGGTGATTTTTCCCGCTCGAAGATAAAGGTGAAATCGTTTAAGCCACTGTTCCCATCGTGTCGCTAAACTGCTGTAATCTACATTAGGATCAAACTGTGGCATCGATGGAAGGTCTACTCTTGCAGCCATAGTAAACAATATATAAAATCCTCGTCGCCAAATGTAATATCCAAGCTTTATTAACTTTAAGTTGTTTTTCAAATACAATAATATCAAGCTCGCCATGCACTGTTCGCCATGCGGTCTAGCTTATGTCCTCCCAAAGCATTGTTGTCTATATACGGTATGTGACGTTGACGTCATCATCACACTAGCGTTTACCAAGCTTGGTGTTAGCGTATACGGTAAAGGCGCTGCGTGCGGAAAGTGAAACGCAGTCCGGGTCGGGTTGCGTTTTGTCTGACATAGCATTTTTTTTCTTAAATAATTTTTAAACTTTTTCTTCTACCTTTTCTAACTTTCAAAAGGTTACGTTAGCAGTAATGACCTTGGACTTCTTAAGATATTTATATCGCTAAATTTACTTTTTTATTTCTTTAACTTTGTCAAGTAACATGCAACATTTAACGGCACTGATTTACAACAACATATAATAATATGTGTTTCATTTGCAGGGTGCACGCAACAGTTTTCACCAATTACAGCGGCCCCATTAACTATTCTAATACTATACAACAATATACAACGAACATAGATCTAATAACAACACGATATTTGACAGGACAGATTACGAGACTTGCTACAAGACAAACATACAGATTTCCATGTCCTTGGATCATCAACGTTAAAACTGTCTTCCAACGCTTACTTGTAATATTTTGAAAGTCCGTTTTTGAATTGTCCTAAACTAATGTTATTGCTTGTCAAACTTTTTGGCAGTGCGTTCCATTGTCTCTTTGTTCGGTTGAGAAATGACCTTTGGTAGGTAGTGGTCTTGCATTGTGCCGTTGTGATTGACAGATGATTGGGATTAGACGACCTGGTTTGTCTTCTGTTGTTATTGGGTGCCGACTGTATTAAATTACTGTCAATGGTCATGATGCCATGCGTTAATTTGTAGAAGGTTATCATATCTAGAAATTCATGCCAGTAGCACAATGGAAGGAGATCTAAAAGTGCAAGTCTCTGGTTGTAGGTTGTGTCACAACGGAAGGACAGATTCAGGATGTACTTTATTGCGCGTCTTTCAAGTCTTTCCACGCGTTTAATTAAGGTTACTGATTGTGGTGCCCAAATTTGAGATTCATAGCATAGCTGGGAACGAACAAGACATAAATATAGTCTGCGGCGAACCGTGATATCTTTGATGTTTAAGGTTGTTCTTCGGACATATCCTAGCATTTTGGTGGTTTTGTTGCACAGGTGGTCAACTTGTTTAGACCAAGTCAGAGTAGAAGATGCTAAAACTCCAAGATCTCGTTCACAGTCCGTGCATTCTAGGATGGTATCGTTAAGTTTGTATGGATAAGTAATTTTATTGTGCTTTTGGGTGACTCTTAAGACTTTGCATTTGGTGTTATTTAATTCGAGATTAATAATGCTTGAGCTTTCTTGGAAGTTTGACAGATCATTCTGTAGAGCAGACGCATCAGAGATCGAATTGATGGTCTTGAAGATCTTGGTATCGTCCGCGAATATAGCAATCCTTGAACTGGTCACGGAATTGGAGAGATGATTTTCACATAGAAGGAACAATAATGGACCGAGGATGGACCCCTGCGGCACTCCTGATGTTACTGGAAGCGGCCTCGACGTTGCTGCATGAACGGTCGTTTGTTGATATCGGTTGGTCAGATATGAACCGAACTATTTGAGAATGCTTCCTCCAAACCCGAATTCACGAAGGCGATGTAACAGCTTTGCGTATTTAGATATTTATGTCGCCAAATCTAATTGACTCACGTAAGACAAAGTGAATGGAATGTTGTGCTCGGGTGAGCAGCCGCATGTGGGGAGAAACCTCGACACATAGAGCGGTTGCGAAGGAGATTACGACACTATATAGCCAGCATTTTACTAAATGTTCGGCTGTATAGCCAGCCGTTTACTAAGTAGTTGGCTGCCGGCTGTATAATCACTTCAAAAATATATAAATATTTACTCAATAATTGTGCATGTAATATTTTTCATAGGAACGATGAAATTCCTTTGCGCAGATACATGTACGCCTAGCGTACCTATTTTTTTATAATGCTTTGGGATAATTAGTTTTGGCGTTTCACGGAGAATTTATATTTTTCTTTGTGTATGAATGAGACTACGACTATTCGTACTAGTTGTATCATCTAAATTTTCTGCTGTTTTGGTATATTACCTCGCTGACACAGACCGTTCAACTATGTCTGCTATTCCCTGTTTTCTACCGGCTTTGTGATATAAATGTCCTTGTGTTTGAACGTCCTTACGAGTATCAGCCGGGCAAGTAGAAAATTTTACTTGGCCACGGGTGGGAATCGAATCCGCGACCTTCGCATTATACAGTATATACAGGGTGTATAAAAAAAAACGCAACCTCGGAATTTCCCAAGAAATCGACATTGTTTTAAAGACAAAAGATTTTAGGCGCCTGGGAATTTAAAATAGCACAACTGTCAAAATTACTGCACACGCGAGTGCATAAAGCAAAATTTATGCATTTATTTAATGCACAACAACAGTAATATGATCTATTAGCAATTCGATTTCAATTCCCAGGGGTCTAAAATCTTTTATGCTTAAGAATTGCAAAGTGATTTCTTAGGAAATTCCGAGGTTGCGTTTTTTTTTATACACCCTGTACAGCTATTTCAATTAAGGTTGCCCACGAGCAAAGCGAAAAAGTCGAATACGTGCGCAAAAGGCTGCTGGGAACCACTATGAAAATTCATTAATATTTTAGCGATTCCCAGCAGCCTTTCGCGCTCGTATTCGACTTTTCCGTTTTGCTCGTGGACAACCTTAATTGAAATAACTGTATATAATATGTGTGGCAGCATTTATAGCTCTTGAGTTTCAGTCCTTTAAAGTACGTACTGACAGCCATATACTATAGTTGGTTGAACGTTTCCTTAGAGAATGACTAGACCCACTCAGCCAATCAGCTTCGAGTATTTCATTGCTCTATATCTCATAATGTGTTAAATCATCAAGTGGCGAGGCCTTTGAAGCGTTGGGAAAATGTGGGGTTAAGAAAACAAAAGGTCTAATAAAAAGATCATATCATTAGCCACTCTATTGAATTCATTAACCACTCTATTGAATTCATTAGTGACTCTACTGTACAGGGTGTCCCAAAAAACCCGAAAACAATTGAAATCACGTATTGTTAAAATTGAATGCCCTACCAAAAAGCTGAACGTAATGATGCGTAAAATATTGACAAGGTGCATGTATGAAAATTTAGTTAAGAACTATGTCCTTGTAAAGTGCGTGATTTTCTGCTCTTGCGAATTTAAATCAGCTTCTTAAATAGCTTCTTTATGCATAAAATTTACTTATGTCAATCATTTATGCACTCGTGGGAACAAACTGAGTGCTAAGGCATTCAAATTCTAACAATTAAATTGTTATTGGTGATTTCAATAGTTTTCGTTTTTTTTGGGACACCCTGTATATCCCATAGAGCACACATGACCATGTTCTAACCATTACATACTGTAGTTTACATTACAGCAGTCTTGCATATTTGTCAATTCGTCATCTGTGCCAGCGTAGCCAGTATCAAAACAGCAAAAAATTGAGATAATAGGAAATGTAGAAATCAGTGATCGTATAGTCTCATTTATATGCAAAGAAAAATATCAATTCCCCGTAAAACGCCAAAACTAATTACCCGTAAGGCATTATAAAAATAGTAATCCGGAAGCATTTAAATATGATGTAAGTCGGATTATACATACGCTGCCAAAAGACAAAGATCCAAATATTCTATGCAACGATTGGAAGACCAAGTTCTTAGCGGTTGCAGACATGTATATATTCCTCTGATTGTTCGTAATAGGCCGTTTGTCGTGGCCCAATATCTTTCACTTTCATTTACCGTGCCTCGTAACTCAAATACTTTTACATAACTTACCACTTTTAAACATGCTGAATCTGAATCCGAAGAGTTCCCGCTCCGTAGACCCGCAGTATTTTTGTAAAATTCATGTTTATTTGCACTCCTTTGACGAAATTCCAACAATCGCCCGCCATTTTGTATATTATTCCTCGATGCTTCGAATTAAATTGCATCGCTCAAATGTGTGTTTACTCCGTTCCAGTCTATTCAATTTGCGGCCGCGTTGTCATTTAGAACGATGGCAAGGTATTTTTACGGGTGTTAATAAATTCGAAAAAAAAATCCAAAATGGAAAGTACTTCCAGTGCTGGTAGTGATGATTCTCATCGAGTATGTGTCATTCATTTCGAGGGTAAAGACGGAGAGCTTAGAGAATTAACAAGTGAAACCGTGAATAGAATTTTGGAAAGAAGAAAGGAGTGGTTAAGTCTGCCATCCTCGTATAAAGCCTTTACTGAAGTCCCCAAAAAGTCGTTCGAGTTTATTCATGAAACTGACGATTTAAACCCGGAAAATATTGCGAAAACATATTGCTTTCATCCTGCCTGTTATCGAAGTTTTACAGACAAAAGTAAACTTGATAGAGCCAAAACTACGTTGACTAATGCTGCCGATCGCAAGCGAGTGGCCGACGACAATACTCAGACCAACTGTCCAAGACCAGAAAAAGTGACCCGAACTACTCGACAATCTTTTCCTACTCGATCATCAAATGTTTTGCCCGAGATTTGTCTAATATGTAAACGGCATGGGCCGATCTACATCACAGACAAGGTATATAGAGTTTTGCTTTATCTTTTTATGTGTTTTTGTAATATTAATTTATTTACTCCAAAGTATTTTAATGTCTCTATAAAAACATAGTACAGTATGGTTATCAGGCACGGCCACAGGATTTGAGGGGCTGACCTGAACTTGCCCTAACCCCTAATTTTTTTTCAGACACCATATACTTTTTGTATATAGATCTGATACTGGGGGGTTGTATCGAGTTTCTGTTATTTTCTCATATCCCCGCCAACAAAATTCTGATCAGAAACAAATACTCATATTTGCAGGCAACGAAAAAACGTGTTAAACACGAGTTATCATTGGCTCAAACCGTGACGGCCGGAAGATTAGAGAAGGCGGCATTGTTAAGGAACGATGAAAGCATTCTCATTCATATCCGTGGGAGAGACTATGTTGCTATTGAAGGCAGGTACCACAAACGATGTTACCAGACGTACACGACATGCCTTTTAAGAGAAAGGAAGATCATTGGTCCAACCTTGTATGACAAAGCATTTGATAAGTTTTGTTTAGAAATAATCGAGAAGAGAATCATCAAGAATAAAGAAGTTCTATTACTTGGCAATTTGTTAAAGAGATTTACCTCCTGTGTACAAGAAATTGAAATGGTTGATGTACCCTACAAAGCTTCTAGGCTTAGGAAGAGAATTCAAACGCGTTATCCATACCTAGTTTTCCATCGCTCGAAAACTATGAATAAAGGAACTCTGGTCTACGATGATAGCCTGACGGCAGGTGATGTAGCGGATGACATGACGACAATACAGAGTGATTCTGATACCGAAGAAGATGAAGGAGATGATTACGATAATGACGGTGAAAACGACCACAGCAAACTCGGTGAAGATGGTGAACACGATGATAAAGGAACGACACCTCCAATGCCAAACTGTTCACTACAGATATTGTTGACTGTCGCCATGGAAATTAGAAAGCTTCTGAATGAATGTAAAGGAGTAGATTCTGATTGGCCGCCGACTCTCATGACCTGACTTTAGCGTTAGCAACAGCATCAATTCCAGTAAAGCTTCACAATTTTTTAGCGTGGTGTCTGGGGTTCTCGTGCGAACCGGTTGAAAACGAAACGGTAGCAATCAGTCCAATCGAGAGAACGAAAGTGGTATCAATAGCACAAGACCTGGTATATGCGGAATCAAAAGGAAGGAAACTAACCCACAAGTCATTGGCCCTTGGAATGGCAGTTCGACAGATAACCGGGTCAATTTGACTACTCAAAATCCTACACGGTTTAGGACATACCACATCAACATCCACCGTCTACAAACACGACACTGGGCTAGCTTTAGCCAGTAGCAAGGGACAGGAAATCATAATACCACGGAATATCAACCCGAGAGTGTTTGCCACTCTCGTTTGGGACAACAATGATTTCAATGAAGAAACTGTTTCGGATAAAGGAACTACGCACGTTGCAAATGGAATTATTTTGCAGAATGGAGACGTCAGATTGGGGGATAAAGTCACAGTGAGTAAGAAGAACCGCACTGTTAAAGCACCAGAAACCAATATCATCCCTTACACTAGCCGTGAGAAAGGAACTATATCCCTCCGAAGTCACAGTTCTGACATTTCACTTGAAGAGCACAGCTATCGACATGAGCAAGACGTGCCAAGGAATGCTGATTTTGTGCACACGTTAGCCAGAAAGTACGCCTCTGATCAAGGGGGTAATCTACCTGGATGGACAGGATTCAACACGCAAGTTTATAAAGATGTCCCAAAGGTTTCCAAAATTGGCTACTTGCCAGTCATCGATGCACCAGTTACTGACATAGCAACAGTCAACACAATACTCCGACACAGTGTTTCTATCTGCACTCGCCTTCAACTGCCAGAAATTGTGTTAGTATTCGACGAAGCCCTATATGCCAAAGCTCAACAGATAAAGATGGAAGGATGAAGAGTTAAAGAATCGACTTGTAATTCGCCTTGGTGACTTCCGCACAATTATGTCATTTTGTAGTGCTATAGCCAAAATTTTCAAAGACGCAGGACTACAAGTAAGTTTTCAGTTATGTTTTCACTTGTTCCTATTTATCAGCATGCATGTGTGTCAGTTTGTGTGTGTGTGTGTGTGTTAGTCTGTCTTTGTCTGTCAATGTGTCAGTCCGTGTTTGGGTCAAATATATCCAATGATGTAATTTTATGTCGGTATAATTTCAGGACATTATGATCGAATCAGAGCTGGTTGCATCGGGATCTGTGAATGGCGTGCTGTTTGGAAAACATTACAACCGTTCTATAAGGGCTCATAAAATCATCTATGAAGCGATGGAAAGGTTACGTTTTCAAGCCTTTGAGAAATCTTTACCAACTACAGAAAATAGTCCACTCCACGCGATTGGTATTAGTGTACAAGAAGATTCGGAAAGGGAGATGTTTGTGGATATCTGCACCAGCAATATTGTCACCGATGCAAAAACGAAGTACGAGCTGTTCATTAAGAAGCGAAGCAAAGAAAACCCGCTGTTTGCATTCTGGTCTAAATATATCGACATGGTACAGCTGCTTTTACTTTACATCCGAACGACTAGAACATCAGACTGGACACTCCATCTCAGTTCCTTAAGATCTATGATCCCCTGGTTTTTCGCCACAGATCGAGTGAATTATTCCCGGTATGCACCATGCTATTGGCTAGAAATGATGTGCCTCGAGGAAACTCATCCATGTAAGTGTATCGATTGACGGTGAAAACAATCAATTTCTAGAGAAATGAATAATGATTTGAAATTTGCATAGCGGGACCAAATCGGCGGGCTGTCTACGCCACGGACCCATATAGTGTAGTGAGTAAGTGAACTGCAAATTGCAAAGGTCAATGTGTCTTTACGACGGATGTTAATACGTTTTGTCTTTCAATCTTTGTTTTGTATTACCTCTTTGGTAGATGTGGCCGCAAACATTGAAGATAACTGGACTGTTCAAAGACAAGAGGGATATGCGTTCTCAGGCGTGGCATGTGATCAAACGATTGAACAAACCCTGAACAGGTTAGAATTCCCTCACATATAAAACACAGAAAATGTTTGAATTTTGAAGGCTGTATTTCTTTTGTCCCCGAGCCGGCGGCGCGAAGCGCCGTGCGAGGGTACTAATTCCCCCCCGGCTATTTACACCCGGGGAAACGAAAGCATTAGCGGAGTCTAAAGTTCATCAAATATCGCGGGCGTGGGTGACCAACGGTGTTGAGCATAGAGATTATAAATAACACTAGAGGAGGCATCGAGTTTAAAAATTGGGAACGCAGCTAATGGGGGGCAAATTCAAGTCCCGGATATAAAATCGTGCTCTCATTGGCTGATTTGAAACTCGTCACCAATGAGAACACGAATACACATCCGGGACTTGAATTTGCCCCCCAATAGTAGCGTTCCCTTTTTTTTACTGAATAAAGATTACAATGCCTCCTCTAGTGTTATTTATAATCTCTATGGTGTTGAGTGGGTGGTCATCCTCACTGATCTCAAAATTATGGCGGACTGTGATGAAAGCGAACACTGATTGGTCAAATTTAAATTTGATGTTGTATGACAAATGACGACTTCAACTGACAGATACTTTGTGAAAATATTTCGCTTTTTGCACTACAGTATTTTGTACGTTTGCAAAATCTTTTGACAGCATTAAAAGCAATAAAAGGTTCAATAAACTAATTAGGTATTAAATACCAATTGAAAATATATGGAGCCAAACGAAGAGCGACAAGAAAACGACAAGAAAGCCGAGCGTCTGGCGAAAACGGCAACGTTTGCTCGAGGAGACTGCTGAGGAAAGAGAAACTCGCCTGGGAAAACGCAGAGAAGCATGGAAAAAAAAGACTGCTGAAGCAAAAGGTAAGCAAAGGGAGTATCAGAGAGTTTATAGGCAACAGAAAGAAGCTGCAGAAAGTGCCGAGAAAAGAGAAACTCGCTTGGCGAAACAAAGAGAAGCATGGGGAAAAAAGACTGTTGAAGCGAAAGGTAAACAAAATGATTATAAGAGAGTTTATAGGCGAGAGAAACAGGCTGGAGAAAGTGCCGAGGAAAGAGAAACTCACTTGGCAAAACGAAGAGAAGCGTGGCAAGAAAGGACTACAGAAGCTAAAGGTAAGCGAAAAGAGTATAAGAGAGTGTATAATTTAGATAAAATGCAAAATGGTACTGAAGAAGAACGAACAAACAGGCTACAAAAGAGAAAGCAAGACCAAGCAACCGAAACAATTGATGAACGAGCAAGAATACTTGAAATACTACGAGCAGTTTTTCACACAAGTTCAAATGAAAATGACCAAGAATCAAATGAGCAGCTGGGTATGTCTGTTGATCCAAATGTAGATATACCTGTATCTGTTCCTAAAGCAGACGAGGATAGTGAGTCTGTACATGAAGCAGAGGGGCCAGAGGTGAGTAGAAATGAATATTTACATGAGGGTGGTTTGCAAAATGTTGACAACCCTCTGCATGAGCTAGAGTTTGTACAAAATGAAATGCACAGTTTTCATTTAGATCAAGAACATTTAGAGCATTGACAATGTAAAATGTGTAAAGAAGCTTGGCCGACACGACAGAACTTAGCATCAGAAGTATACATTTGTTACCGGTGTAAAAGAGACAAGAAATCACCCAAGAAATTCAGTGCGGAGAATGACATGGATCCAGGAATAGTTCCTGAACAATTGAGAGGTTTGACACAGGTAGAAGAAATGTTAATTTCAAGGGTTTGTCCCATTATGAGAGTGTATAGAAAACATGGGGGGCAGAGGGGGTATAAAGGACATGTACTTAACTTACCACAAGATATTCAAAGTTTCTTGAATAGATTGCCTTCTCGTGTGGCAGACTTGCCTGTCTCGATTGGGCGAAGACATGGTGCAGAAGACAAACATCGAGACTTTACTGTGCGTCAACACAAAGTTCTTGAGGCTGTACTATGGTTAAAGACAAACAATCCGTTCTTTAAAAATATTGAAATTGATAGAGATGTCATCCAAAGTTTACCAGAAAATGGTATTCCTGATGAGCTAAGGTATGTCATTGATGAAAATGAGCTTTCAGTTCATGTTGAAAATGAGGGGCCTCCCCAAGACCCAGTAATGAGTGCTAATGCAAGTGTGGAAGAGTTAGTTTTAGGAAGTGGCAGTACATCGTTTATTCCTATGCGCCAAAGACAGAGAAAAGAAGGTGCAGCTATCCAAGATGCAGTAAATGAGGTTGATCCGTTAGACTGGCCATCTACTGAAGGTAATCTCATTAATGAATTAAAAACAGATGGTTTAGCTACTATGGCCTTTCCTACATTGTTTCCTTATGGGAAGGGTGACCCAACAAATAGGGCAAGACAACATGGTATAACGTTAACCGAAGCTTTCAAACATTTAATGAAGTTTGCAGAGAGACTTGCAGATGGTAAGTGTGAATGGAGGTTTGCTTCTCACCCTCGGTTTCCTTATTGGGCGTTAAACATGAAACGACATCAGCTGTTGTCACAAGCAAACGTTTACTTGCGTCAACATCCTGCTGATGCAAACATGACAATGGAAGAACTAAAACACATGGTCAATTCCATGAGTGCAAATCAAATGGTAAATAGGTTGCAGCGCTATGTGTCCAAAGTACAAGGTACGAATCAGTATTGGTATCAGTGGCTGCAGGAATTGCTGGCCCTGATTGAACAAAAAGGCTGCCCTACTTTTTTCTTTACCTTTAGTGCAGCTGACATGCATTGGCCAGACTTACAGAGGCTGTTGCAGAATGATGAAGGTGCAAACAGATCTGAGCGAGCACAAGCTGTAATCGACAATCCCCATCTGACTGATTGGTTCTTTATGCAGTGGCTGCAGGAGTTTGTCAGACATTGGCTTAATGGCGTCTTGGATGCGGAGTGGCACTGGTATCGATTTGAGTACCAAGCTAGGGGAAGTATTCATTGCCACAGATGTGCAAAGTTAAAAAATGACCCTGATATTAGAGAATTACATAATAAGGCATGTGTTGCATTCCTAGAGAGTGAGACAACAAGGTACGAAATGTCACCTGATGATTTTGAATTCCTTTGCGGGGATGTGATAAGACAGTGAGAAGATGCTGAGAAGTTGTTAATACAGTAAGAAAAAATATTTCCATATTAATGTTTCCAATGTGTACTGCTAAGCTAACTGTGCAGAATCTGTTGTGGGATAATTCTTTCAATAATAAAACTTTATCCTGCAACAGGCCTTCAAATGCATGTACTGGCACAATACCGGATCATAATTATTGTAGTAGTTACACAATACCGGACTCGCTTCTCATAGTCATAACATTGAATTTTGCATTCTTAGAGATGTCTTACTGTACCTCCTACTCAATATATTGCAATAGCATTTTTGAAATACCATTAAAACTATACCTTGGCATGCTCCCAAATGTTGATATCAACTAAAAGTGTGCAGGTCAAGTGTTCATGTCAACTACTGTAAAAAGCGAATTTTGTATTATGCATGTATTAACCACTGCTGCCTATTTTGGATATTTAATAATATGACTACTACTGTAAATTAAAAGGCAGGATAAACTACTGTACACAACTTTTGCCTAAAATTGTCGCATACAACCTGCTTATATGCATGTATACAACTTGAGTGTACTGGGTGAACCAGCACACAACTATGCCTATGACAACGTAAGTGAGTAAATGCATGTTTAATACAGAGTCAACTTGTTTCCTTGATATTTTACGCAGTAAAACTCAAGTTGTACAAGCAGGTTGCATAAGGCAAATGTTGTGTAGTGTAAATCTGCCTTAATACACAAAACACTCACCAAATATCCAGCTAATAATATATGCAGATAGCCAATCTCCACAATTTTGAAAGGTCTTTCGCCCATCTTTTTTATTATTATGCATATTTTATTATATTATAATATGGTAGTATTACCTTTGCTACATTAAAATTGAAAAAGTAACAATATTTTACATGTAAACAAAAATTCCTTATAAAATTCCTTAAAAGGTTTCAATTTTCCTCAAATGAATTTTCAATAATTTCTGAAGATTTCATTGGAATGTAAGAAATGACATAAATAGAAAGTGGAAATTTAACTGTGGCACAAATCTGTGACTGTGGTCATACAGGTTTCACAGGAAAATGTTTCACTCAGTCAATGGTGTGATTAAAACTGTTTTATGACTAATTTGGTAATATTTGGCTAATAGAAAAAGCGCACATGTTTAATAAGTTATGATTGTTTTAAAGGTATGTTGACTGGCTGGTGACAACTTTTAATGAGGAATTGCCAGATGAAAACTGGAGGATACCAGACCCTCATCCATCTGCTGTTAGCGCTACAACAGTGGATAATCGTGACAATGATTATCACAGGTTAGTTAATACTGTAGAAAGACACTAGATGCAGTCCAGCATATTGCTTGAAACAGAAAAGAGTGGACCTGCTTGCAGAATGCAGATTTGGTTTTCCAAAGCCATTGCAAGAAGAAACAGAACTGAGCCTTGAGCTGGTGGTAGGTAAGAATACGAAGTCTGTTGAGTCTGAGTTACATATCAAACAAAATGATCAAATTCTCATAACAGGGTGATGCTTGAAAACTGGTGGGCAAATGTAGATTTGCAAGTCATTGTAGATGAGAAGGCTTGTGCAAGATACATGGCCAAGTATGCTGCGAAAGGAGAACCCCGATCGAAATCGGTGTCAGAAATACTAAAATTGTCTGTGTCTTCATTACAGAATGATGATCAAGTCCCTTCAGCCTTCAAGAAAGCAATGATCCAAGTTGCTGGGGATAGAGATATGGCAGCACAAGAAACTGCACATATGTTACTTAGTCTACCACTGGTTGGCTGCACATTTAGTTTTGTTACTATTTCTTTAGATAACAGTAGGAAGGTTAATATTGATGCAGAAAACAAAGGCGATGAGGTACTTCAAAAATCTGTGCTACAAGAATATGCAGGACGTACAAAATTTAAGGTAGGTATACAGGCTTGTCTCAGCTAAATCTGATGCAATATGTGTCACAGTACACGAAAGTCCGAGGTGAGTTGACGAAACGAGCGAATCCGTACATTGTCAGGACATTTCCAAAGATTTCCGCTAATCCTGCTGGTCCTGATTTTGGTAAATACTGCAAATATCAACTAATAAAGTTTAAACCATGGGAGGGTCAACCGTCAAATGCTTGGAACAACGAGGATGAAAGTGATCAAATGTTTATTAATGCATATGAATTTTTTCTTATGACAGATGAATTTGCAGAAGAAAATGTGTTTAGGTATTCCGATGAAACAGACAGAGTTCATGATGCGCAATGTGGTCAAACCTTTGAAAACGATCCAACTGACAATCAAGATGATGACGACGAAAGTGAAGTTTACCCTGATGATGAGGATGAAGTCGATGATTGGATGTTATTATGCAGAATTAACCAAGATTATGGTGAAGCAGGTAATCTGATGTCAGACAATGAAGCAGTGGACTGGTTTGAAATGGTAAGAGCTGTGCCTAGAGATTTATTAAAGGAATCTCCAGGATGGATCTATAGTCAGAGAAAGGAGGCTGAAGAACATGGTTAGCATTTTCGAGAAGATGATCAACAATGTGTAATTGATCCGGAGACCTTGAATGAAAAACAACGCCTTGCTTATGACATCATCACATCTTAGAATGGTGATAATGCCGAGCCTGTTTATATGATTGTGTGTGGAACAGCTGGCACAGGTAAGACATACTTAATAAGTGCAACAAAACAAGTATTAGCCACTCAGTGTGTTGTTACAGCAACTACTGGGATTGCAGCCTTTAGTATTAATGGTCAAACATTACATTCTGCTGCTCAACTTCCTATCTGTGAATATAGGGATTTGCAGGGTGATTCACTACAGCAGTTACAGCTGAGGCTGGAAGGTAAAAGATTTCTGATTATTGATGAAATGTCAATGATTGGACATAAAATGCTATCATGGCTTGACAATAGATTACGTGCTGGAACTGGAAAGGAAGATATCCCTTTTGGTGGTATGTCAGTAATTCTAATGGGGGATTTTGGTCAATTACCACCTGTTGGTGATAAGCCAATGTATGTTTCAGGTAATGGAACAGTAGTAAGTCAGGCTGGTGAGGACCCCGAGGCAGTTGCTTTTAGAGCCTTGCTGATGAGAATGCGAAATGGAGAAGTGACAGGGGAGGACTGGAAACTATTGTTGGAGCATTCAACAACAAGTGTACCAATGGATCAATTTACTGATGCCATCCGATTGTACGTTGACAAGAAAAGTGTTGCTGAATACAATTACGAGAAGCTATTGCAGCTTGGACAACCTGTTGCTAAAATTCAGGCAAAGTATTCTGGTCATGGTGCCAGTGCGGCAACGTCGGACGAAGCTGGTGGATTGGATGCTGTTCTGTTTTTATCCATAAAAGCAGAAGTAATGCTCACTTGCAACCTGTGGGCTGAAGTTGGTCTCTGCAATGGATCATTTGGCACTATTGAGCAGATTTGGTTTGCAGAGAATATGGGTCCACCAAACCTGCCAATAGCAGTATTGGTACACTTCCATAGTTACACTGGTCCTGCATTCCTAGATGCATGTTCTAAATGTATACCTGTGTCACCCAAAGTGTTTGAATGGGTGGCTGATGGAAAGTATCTGTCAAGGCGACAAGTGCCCTTGCGGTTGAGGTATGCAATGGCTATTCATAAGTCACAAGGACAGACACTAACAAAAGCTGTTGTTGATTTAGGTAAAGGAGAAAAAGTTGCTGGATGCACATTTGTAGCTACATCACAGGTGAGATCGATTCATGATATTGTATTTGAACCTATGACATTTGATCGCCTGAAAGCAATTGGTAGGAGTAAAAATATGCAAAAACAACTTGAAGCTGAACAGCGACTTAAAGCAGAGAAAACTGTCCAAACATATAATAGGTCATGAGTTGTCATATTAAGTTGAAGAGTTGTGGTGTTCAAGCACCAGCATAATATACTGGGCACATATACTGTGCTTTCGAGGTTATTTCTCCTGTTACTAGGCACAATTTTAATGGTGTAGTCTATGCCTCTATTATTGTGTTTTTGAGGAAGGCATTCAGGGAGTTTGTCATTGCCTGTTACCTAGACATATTATATATTATGTTTTTGAGGTTGGTTGCATGTTGACATACCTGTGCTTAATATTAAATAGTATTATTACGTATATATACTATAAATTTAAAACTTTGTCTTTTTATTCTACATAATATTTTATATCTTTAGAAATTGAACCAAATTCATATAAAGGTATGATTTTTCTCCTGTTTTGAGTAACTATTCTATTGATAAAACAGTTCCCTTCAGATCAAGACTACAGGGACTGGTTGTACGAAGCCTATTAAACAAAGGCCTGATAGTGCTATCCACCGGATAGTGATTTTTTCAAGCTTTGTTAAATCAGTCGTTGATTGGTATAACTCGTATTAAAGTTTAGTGTTTATAAATGAAATGTTTTTCATACTTCTTGTCACTTGTGTGTCGTCTCTATCCGTAGTTTCACAGTTTTTCAAGCATTTTATAAAGTTTGAAAAAATCACTATCCAGTGGATAGCCCTATATCTGACCTTCGTACAACGGACCTCAGGGGCCGGTTGTTCAACGGTGGTTTAGCGCTAACCCTGGGTTAAAATTTAACCTTCTGTTTTAGTTTATGTATTTCTGCACGCCTGTTTATTTCAAAACTTCAGAGAAGTAAACTCCTTAGATCCAGACAAGATATCTGAAAAAATATTTCCAAATTTCCATAGACAAGCTGTGAGGAAGTTTGCTTTGAATTTTAGGTTAACCTGGGGTTTAAGCTAAACCAGTTTTGAACAACTGGCCCCAGAATAATATTCAAGACACTCCAGATTACTCTTCGTGGATATTGCGTATGGTTACCAAAAATTCACACGCAACATCCACGTAAATACGAAGCGCGCAAAATTTTGGTTTTTGGCCTTTTTGTGAGGCAGTAACTGACAGTAAGTTTTTTTCCGAAAAAAACAACTTTGTTAAGTTTTTTGAACACACACTGTATCTTTGAACGAAAAATAATTCACTACTATTTGTGGAATATATATGTTTTGGGCAAAAATAACTTCATTTACTGAGTTTGTCACAACAAAAACGTTTTCGTGTTTTTAACAGTTTTTTTTTTGTTTTTTACAGATATTTCAAATAATTTGGCGGAAAGGTATGACTATATTTTAAAATTATTTATAGTATGCTTCTTAGCTGATGTTAAACAGCCTTTGCTTCATGGCCAAAAACATTCCTGTCCAATACAAAAGATGGAAATGTATTCAATATTAGTTTTAATATGCACTGGGAGTGGAGATGTTGCATTTTATTAATGATTTCCTTTAATATTTTCTTTTATAATTATAGCAAAGATTTAACAAACACAAAAGTAAGTTGCTCCAACTTTTTGAATGAGCGAATAAAACCATATTAAAAGAGGCATCCAAGTTGAACATATAGGTATAGCTTGGACTTATAAACTTAGCTATTTCATAACTAATCCCTATATTATAACTAATCCCTATATTATAACTATTTCATTTTAGTGGAATTACCGGAACTGCACGACCCTGCTATTCTTGGTATGTACATTGCAATAAATATGTGGTATAATATCTACTTTTTGGTTTTATATAAAGCAACATTTGTTCTAGCTGGTTGGACCTCACATAAAATTAAATGGACTTACAACTAATAGTAAATTGTGTGAACAGAGGCCAGTTGTCACCAATTGTTTGGCTACAGTTGTACAGAAGTATATTTGTGACCTCGAGGTATATTTTTGTGACCAATATTTCAGTGACAAACATTCCAACCGTCCCGGTTTACCCGGGACTGTCCCGGTTTGGACTATGTTGTCCCGGTGTCCCGGTTTTCTTCTTATTGTCCCAGTTTCTGTAGTATTTTAATAGTTGTATTCTTTAAATAAGGCTCATGTAACAAATATTAATGAAATTCGTTTGGTTCAATAAATATTAATGAAATGGGAGCTTCTAGTTGCCCCAAACAATTGCTGACTTTGTCGCCGATCGTTGTAATTCTCGTGACATACGTTGTTTTGACAATTTTAATAGCGTTCGCTTTCAATTCCTATTCATTTTGCCAGGGCTACATGAAGTAAAGCAGCGTAACAGAAGCGGGCGCAATAATCGCGGGCTCTTGAATACGAGAGGATCATGTCACAGGTCAAAAGACCAGTAGTAAAACGAAACAATTTTGCCGGTACAGTACTTCAATGAAATTAAAGACCATTAAAGCTTGTTGGCAGGGCCGTAGCAACCGGGAGGGGCTGTGGGGGCTGTAGCCCCCCCCCCCCAATAATTTTCTAATAATCATTCTTTTTTCAAAATCATGCAGACCTTTATCAATTTTAAGCATTATTAGTTTTAAGCGGCTACATTATCCATGACAAAGTGCAAAGAATGAAGATATTACCCACACTTTCCTGCAACTTATCCAATATATAGTTAATTAAATACACCTTTGCCCATTTAGTACTACGAAATTGTAAATTTCGACATACTAAAACGCTGTTTTCTGACTATCAGAATTCTGTCAAATCTTCCCAAAAGTCCAGGAAATGGCATTTCAGAGACTCTGAATTAAAAAATTTCCTCGGGCCCCCCCCCCAAATAAAAAAATAGAAGCTTCCTATGGCCCTGTGTTGAGAAGATGTTATATTACGTATTTAAATGGTTTCAACGTTAGTGTAATAAAACTAGTTTTTGTAGCATCCACTGTGAATGTATTGTTTAATTCAAACTCAACTCAGCCAATGAGAAAAGCACGGCATTTATTAGAGGGAGGCGTTTATTTAATTTAAGTAAAATGGGAAAATTTGGAAGTGTCCCGGTTTTGAGGACTCAGAGGTTGGAATGTCTGCAGTGACCATGCAGAGGTAAAGTTAATTGTGACCAATTGCTTGGCGAAAACCCTCTTGGCCGGCCACAATGAAATATTTTCTCATGTAAACATGTTAAAATTCAATCCAATTACCCAGTGAGTACCTATGCATGTAGTTGTAGATTGTCCTCTCCTACAGTAGCTACATGTAATAAAGTGTATACTGACAATTTCATTTTACAGAGCATGGTTATAACATTCTACGGATTATCAATTTGCAATATCATGCATGTGACACAGTAACCTCATCTAAAAACCTTCTAACACAACATCTTTTATTTTAGACGTTCATGTTGATGATGGTAAGAATTCAGTTATATATTTAAAACACAAATTCTTAAAGCTAGGTCATTCTGTTTGAGAAATAATAAAATCTGATGTACTCAATTGACAAAAAAGGATTAACTTTCAATTATTTTCTCCATGGTAGAGTTGTGAATGTTTTCTACAATACTATAGTAATGATTGATAATTAAGAATATAATTATGTACAATATATGACAGATTAAGTATATTACAGATTTCTTATGAATATTTGCAACATTTTTTTCTTCTAATTAACTATAGAAAGTGAAGTCGAAGAGGATAAAGGAGAAGTCCAGCCATGTAAGTTAACTTTATAAAACAATATGTTCAGTATGGTTCAATCATACTTATAATTATATTATTATTACTTCTACAATAAGATGCATGATTTTATTTCAGTGAACGAACAACCTCGACAAGAAGATGCGAATGGTATGGTTCTGTTGATATACTTACATACCTATATCTGTAATATGTAATTTGGTCTAACTACAGTTAGTACTATTTTTTTTCAGTTCAAGAACGACAACAACGTCAACGGCATGGTAATAGTACATTCTTTATAAAGTTTAATTATACCTCTCTTGTGTAATTCAAACTAATCAACATTCTTTCATTACAGTTAATCATGAATGACACCCACAACGTCGTGACGGTATAGTTCTTGAAATAGATTTATACACTAAGTACTGAGGACTATTATTGAACACACAATTACCACTAGCTCTGGGTCAAACTTTAACACATTGTTTTCGTCTATATATATAGTAGAACTTCACATTTGTTTACTTCAGAACTTTGGAAAATTAAACTTCTTTCGATTCTATTTTTCTAATTTAGAAAATCAAGCAAGGAGAATGGGCAATGGTAGGTACTGTATATTTTGTTAACATCTTATTTTATCAACATCTTAGTGAGTGCACTTCCAGTATGTACTGTAACCTAAATGAATATTCTTGAAAACTGATTGTATTTTCATTAAATTTAGGACGTTGCTATAAGACTGTGGCCTCTGTGGCCATTATGCTGTGGCATGCCGTTCACGTATGTACTTTACTAAAACTACAAATATTATAATAGTCCTGTGATATTACAGTAGTAAAAAATGTTGGACCAATTAACTTTACAATAAATTTTAGTCATTATTGTATGTTGGAAAATGAATGTTTCTTTGACAATGTTTCTTTGACAATGTTCCTGGAAAATACAAAAAATAAGCACAATTATAGTATTATTCTGCATATATAAAACATTAACCCATTAAGCACCAGCACTCTCCCATTAACGAGTAAAATTGTCTGGCGTTAGACAGAGTAAAATACTCTGGCGTTAGACAGAGTAAAATACTCTGGCGTTAGACAGAGTAAAATACTAATGTAGGGTGCATCCGGGTGCAATGCGACTCAATGGGTTAAACAATGTAAAAGAGTTGTACAGTTGCACTTGCCGGATGAAGTCAAACTGTGCAAATCCAATTTCCAGCATTGTTTCATTTAAAAATAAATATTTTTTAAATTATATAAGACACCATGTTGAAAAATTGCTCGAAGTAGGATCAATTTTGAGTACAGTGAACATATTGAAGGCAACAACAACCCTCGAAAAAGGTCCATAGAAATAACAGCCTTAACTTATTCTTTCAAATAAATGCCGTAGGACCCAATAACAGACTAACCCATTGAGTGGCAACACTCTCCCGATGACAAATAAAATTGTCTGGTATTATACATAATAGAATAACAAAGTTGAGTGCATATCGGTGTATTTCCACTTGACAGGTTAATCTTTTAAGAGGCAATGCACCCTCATTAGCCATACTTTAGTATTTTACTCTGTCTAACGCCAGATGATTTCACTTGTCAAGTGGAGTGTGCTGCCACTCAATGGGTTAATAATACTACATACTAGAATTTTATATTTTCAAATATAGGCATAGTATGCTGGTTGTGCGGTGAACAGGGGCATGCCAGGATCAAGTGCCCCCAAAGGCATAGTTCAAGAGGGGAATGGACAGCCAGTTGTTTTTAACCATTGCAGATTTGATAAATTAACAATGTAATTTTATATTGTTACTATGTCAAATCTGCAATTGTTAAAATTGTTTACAGTAATAATGGCTAAATTTGACAGTTAAATTTAGTTTATTTTACAGTTAAATTTATTAAATTGATATATTAGGGCTGTTTATATGGAAAAGCTAGCCCATGCAGCCATCTCACCAGGTTGATTACTTTCTTCTCTGTTTTGCCTTCAAGATTTTCTCAAAAAAGTTGATAAAAATATTTGGTTCAGATTAAGTGTAAACTGGTCTTTTAGTTAATCAAGATTTTCCTTTCGGCTTTGGGTCAAAGGATATATTTTCTTGACATAAATTAGCAGATAGCCTGCTTCATACAACCAGCCCCTTGACAGTTTGTGTTGTTATTACTTTATACATGAAACTGCACTATCATGATCATGACCCATGTTCTATATAATAATAGCTCTATAAATATACTTTATTCGTTCATTATAAAATAAAAATTACAAATGTGTAAAAGGTACTGTACCTTGTCACAGAATAAGGAGTAGAACCAGAAGGGACACTCTTTTGATGTTAGGCGGTAGCGCCGACATAGGCCTGCATACACCCGCGAGAGAGCGGCGGCCATGTTCTTAGGTAGTATAGTGTGAGAATTTAACTATAAACAATATGGCGAAAACCGCACTATGATTATTAAAACTGCTCCCTTTGGAATATAAGTGGACTATTTTCATCTGTTTTATGAATGTATTGAAGAAAAGGTAAGCGAGTTTTTATTTGTCAAGTTTGGTAGCGTAATTATTTTTTTTGGCACAATTTAATTGCGAGTTTTGCTCGGAATATATTCATCTTCATTTGAAGCAATTGAAAAAAAAAAAATTACGCTACCAGACTTGACAAATAAAAACTCGCTTACCTTTTCTTCAATATATTCATAAAACAGATGAAAATAGTTCATTTATATTCCAAAAGGAGCAGTTTTAATAATCATAGTGCGGTTTTCGCCATATTGTTTATAGTAAAATTCTCACACTATACTACCTAAGAACATGGCCGCCGCTCTCTCGCGAGTGTATGCAGGCCTATGTCGGCACTACCGCCTAACATCAAAAGAGTGTCCCTTCTGGTTCTACTCCTTATTCTGTGACCTTGTGGTTTGTCTTCACAACGCTATATACCAATGATAGCTGTACAAGTATGAAATTCCATCCTCTGTTTCTTTACAATTTTCCAATAAAGTGTTTGTCATACAAGTTCAAGTCAGTAATATTAATGTCACAGGCAATTTCCATAACCCCATTCGTGGTTACAAATACCGTTGCTTGCAACTAAGGGTGAACAGTTGCAGATAATACATTGTCTATTCTCATCACAAAGTTCGATGTTTTTACTGAAAAAGTTCAAAGTTTGTGATGATCATTTCATGGTTTCAAAGCCAACCAAGCTTGTAGCTACTTGAACGTTATATTGGCTGATCAGATGAAAACATGTCAACTAAGTGTTGTTGCTCATGACAAACATTGAAGATTCTCACGCAAATATATGTAATGTTTTTATGAGCAACCGTTCATCATTAGTTGCAAGCGACGGTACAACATTGATACTATCAACATGACTGTGTCCGAATGTCCAATGATCATTCAAAGATGTTATAAATTCCAATACTCACAATGATTTCATGTAGAAATACATGCAGTTTAATACGAGGAAATGAATTGATTCTAAAATATGTAAATTTAAAGCATTGACTTACAGTATAAAACGATGTGAAGACAAGGTAACTTTTATTGCTATTTGCTAAATCTATAAATTAAGCCAAGTTAACATTTTGCATATAAATTAAATACATTTCTGTTTATTGGTATTTATTGTCTAGTAAATATACTTCTTATTCTAGCAAGTGCACTGACTTCCATGACTTTTAATGCATCGGTCAAATCCAAGCGTGCCCAACCCCGGGCCATTTTCCTGTAAAGCATGTCCGGGGCTTGGGCATTTGAACTCAAACCTTTGCCGGGGGGTGGGGCATTTGAAAGTAAGGATTTTGAAGTTTTACAATCATCGAGTACCCTTACAAAACCAAATTATATGGGACATATATGGACCAACTATGGGATTGATATGGTTCAACCTATGGGCCATATATGGAAGTTATATGGTTTTGGTATGGCCTGGTTGCCTTCATAGCATACCCATATCATGTTTTTGATATAGGTTTGATATGTATTTGGTACAAATCCATACATATCCCATATCACTTACTATGGGAAATACATGGGTTACTTATACCATTTCATAACAACTTTGCTATGGGAATGATATGATTCTATATGGAAATGATCTGGGAACACGATATGGAATTCATATGGTTCTTGATGTATATAAACTATGGGATTGGTATGGGTGCAACAATTATCATATTATACTGGGAATGGTATGGGCACTTGTTTTCATCCCATACCAAACCCATGTTAACATCTAACATCCAAATGCTAGATGTTAACACGTTGTGGGTTTGGTATGGGATGAAAACAAGTGGCCACCATTCCCAATATACGGTACTTGCTATGGCTCAAGAAAATTGTACTGGCTGGCATACATAGTTTTATTAACATGCAAAAAATCTTCAAAAACACAATACACAAATAAATAACATAGTTAATAAATAAACAAAGTACAAAATTGTTAACTAATTTACTATTTCTTAATGAACTTGCAAAGTTTGTCTAACTAAATTACCATGGTATAACTATATATACAAACATGCGATAATGTGAAGTACTAAATGCTTATTGATCTATATAAATGCATCGATATCTATAATGTCCTCAGTCCTCTCAACTTGTGGGCCTGACTACAGACTATTCACTAATCAAACTCTTTGCGTACGCCTGGCCTCCACGTCACTTTTCATGTTTATTTTTTGTATCACCTGACTTGGTGTAGGACCTTCTTTAGAAAAATTCTTGCAGAGCAATGTGTCAATACCAGAACATGCCAGATCCTTCTACAACTTCTATCATCTGCAGGGCAAAATAATTCAAACGTCAAGATTTTGCCAGATCTGACAAAAATTATTGTACTGACAGAAAATTTATACCCTATAGCCTACTGCAGCCAAATTTCCACCAAGCATTTTTGCACCAAATTTAATATTTTACTCTGTCTAACGGAAGACAAATTTACTCTGTCAAATGCCAAATCGTTATGTTTTATTATATGTCTAATTACAGACAATTTTATTTGTTAAGTGGAGAGTCTGGCACATTAATGGAATAAATATTTAATAAAATAACAAAGTACTAAAAGTAGGGCACATTGCTTTTAAATATTCCAACACAACAGCTTTTGCAGTTAATTAATTATTAAGAATTAATAACCTTTCAATAACCAACACTTCTTATCTTGATGAGTAAAATCATCTGATAATTAACTATCAAAGTACTGAAAGTGGGGAGTGTTAGGATGAATTGCATCTAAATGTGTTAACAACAAACAATGCAAAATAGTCTGGTGTTAAACAGGCCAAAATATTGAGCTTTGAAAAGAGCAGATTAGTGTGAATTGGGTCTTAATGAGTTTACACATAACACATAGGGACAGCAAGAAAACC